CCATGTGTGAAGAGGAGGGTTTGGGAGAGAAACTGCTCTGTCATCCAGTCTGATAAGAGGACAGGATTGAAGTCATATTTCACAGATCCCAAGGGAAGTGCGGTGGGGGCTAGGACTGTTACAAATGGGGAGTAGCATTTTGGAGACCCCAGTGGATACTTACCAGCTGTATCTTCAGAAACGAATTAATCTTGCTCTTTGTCAATTTTCCTTTGTCTGGCCCCACAAACTTGAAAAGAGAAGAGTATATCTTTTCTACAATATAGTATATTCTTGGAATAATAGGTGAAGAAAATTAGGAAAAATCAGCTCTAATTAAATCCGACGTATGGTTAAAACATCCTATGCCTAGTGTTTAAAGAGTCCTGAAGATTTTCTCGTTAATTATATGGTTGTTCACATCTTAGAGCTGTAACACTACAGGTAACAGTCTCTTTCTGATCACCTGTAATAACATAGGATTCAGAAATGCTAAGGTAATTAATGGGATTAGAGCCAACCTGATTTCCTGTAGTTTTTACCTGCTGATGCATACTGTGTCTCACAGAATGACTTCAATCCTTCACATGCCAGATCTACATTTTGTAGATAACTATGATCATCTTTTCAGAGATGAAAATCGAAACAAGTCAACCTTTGATTTATTTAATTGTTTCAAAGATTTTACCTCTGTATCCACGCCTCTCCAAGAAAGTTTCCACTTTTTACTGTTTCTCCTTGTTATTTCCTTGTGTTATCCCATATGGTCTAATCACCACAAGAGAGGGTAGGATAATCACTTTTCCAATGAAGGATTTACTGTCCTTGCAAACCTTTCACTGGATTTTGGGTTCATAAGCAGCTGGACACAAGCTGCTGCTCTTGCAGCATCTACTGGTTTTCAAACCATAGTCTTACTGGTTTTCAAACCCAACAAACTTTTTCAAACATCACAGAGAACTTGCTTTCAGTGTGAAGGGGTTAGGAACTGTGGATGGCATCAGAGGGGAAGCAAAGCTTCTGGGCCAAGGCTAGTGTATCTTCTCACAACAAATCCAAGATGCTTCTTCAGGCCCATCACAAGGCAAATTGCAAGAACTGCCTGGTGGGTTCTTCACCAGGAAGGGAAGCAAAATATTGGGGGCTGTAACTATGAGTTGAGTACTGGAGGCCACTTCCTGGGGAACAGGTGCCAAGATGAAGAACTGAGGTGTCATCCTGTGGGTCAGTCCTGACCAGAGTAAGGGGTGTGATAAGAAGTGAGATGAAAGCTTCATGTTACACTGACCATGAGACAGCAGATGCAGAAGAGACCAGAAGGCATTGCTCTCGGATTCCTGGGTTACCCCGTTTGGTCTTTCTGAGGCGTGTTTGTCCGTGTGATTCAGGGCAGATCCTCACATTGCAAGTTTATTAAAGTTGGCTCCTTGTCTCAGACTGTATTGAGCATATTTGGGGCCTGAAATCTGTTATCTATCCCTCCTAGTTTCTTGTTATCTGTTGACTTAATAACTATGCCATCATTGTCCTCCTCTAAGTCATGGCAAATGTTTAAAAGGGAGGCCAAGCACAGATAGTTCCATGGCCCGATATGAAAACCTCCCTTCAGGTTGACGGTCATCTATTAATCACATCTCTGTGAGGCTGGCCATCCAAGTGCTTACTAATCCATTAATAGCACCAGTGTGTAACTCAGATTCCTAAATCCTGTCCAGAAGGAGCTAATGGGAGACTCTGTCCAGCGCCTTGCTGAAGTGTAGTTTATTATGTGGCTTGCAATTCTTCGTGCCAAATCCTGGGTGGAGGTTAGGCACAATTTATTCTTAGTGAACCCATTCTGACTCTCGGTGATCACTGCTTTCCTTTCAAAATATGTCTACAAACCACTCCTTTAAACACTCACTTAGAAATTGTTCTGGAAGTTATCATCAAGCTTGCTGGTCTTTCATCTGTAGACTATCTTTCTACCCTTTCTTGAAAATTAGGAAATGTTTAAGTAATCCTCTGTAGCCTATTGAGACTTCTCTCTTTCTCTGTAGTTGTTTAGAAACTATCTATGGAATTTCACCTTTCACCATTTCTACAAGACCTTAATAATATAATTGGTTTAGATTTGGAGACTTGAACTCATTGAGAATTATAACTTTGGCCTTTCTTTCAGAATGTTTGTGCTGTCTTTTGTAATATGAAGATCAACCATGGTGAGACAGGAAAGAATATTCAATGTTGGCCCCAAGCATATGACTTTCTTATTCTTCTTGGCCTTCATATACATTTAAAAGCCACCCTCTTCTTGGTTATCTTTGGAGCTATCCAATGGGTTTGTACAGTTTTTACAGGTTTCCAAATTGTGTTATTTTTAATTTATCTTCATAGATTGATTGATAGTACTGGACGTGAGTTAAGCTTGATTGTATGAACTCGATTGACTTCAGAACCATCCAGTGGACTGATGGAGCACTCTTCTGGGTGTGTCTGGTGGGCCATGGAGACCTGACCTTGAGTATACTTGATCCCTTGCCCCTTCCTCTCTGGTGCTTTTCTCCTGCTTTATTTTCCTGCTGCCATGAACTAAGCAACTTTGCTCTACTCTTGATGTAGAACATCAGGGGACAATGTTCCTGCCTTGGAGCCAGCTGACCATGCATGAACTGAATACCCTGAAACTGTGAGATAAATTAAATCTCTCCTTCTTTAAGTTGTGGATATTGGATATTGTGTCCCAGTAGTGGGAAAGCTGATTAAACACTGGAGATTGAACCTACAGCCTTTGCACTGAGCTACATCTCCAGCCCTTTCTTATTTTGAGATAGGGTCTACTAAGTTACTAAGTTACCCATACTAGGCTTGAACTTGTGAGCTGCCTGTCTCAGCCTCCCATAGTGCTGGGATTATAGACATTTGTTACCATGCCCAGTTTATTATCTATTTTTTAAACACCTGTAAGTGTTGAAATGTGTTCCAGAACTACCTTTCAGTGTAAGCTGCAGGTTTACTTAGCTGCTCATTTTGGAGAGCTACAGTATCCCAGCCCCAGTAGAGAATAATGGGAGCCTTTCTATAACTGCCCATACCATTTACAACCAACAGGCATGGGTCACCATTCTTTATCATAATCAAATGAGCCTAAACAGAACAATCAGCCATCATTTATCCATTCAACAAAGTTATGGAGGACTACATGTGTCAAGGATGCCTGAAACTAAGAACAAGATCCTTCCCTTTTCCTCTTTTTGGCATTTTCTCTCTCGTCAATCCTGTGGTTCAGGATTTGATTGCCCTTGATGTCCTCAACATCTTATATGATATTATCTGACTTCCACTTTCCATAATTTGTTCCACCCTATCTGGGAGCCCCATTTCCTTTTGCATGACCTTCTAATGCTCTTTTTCAGCATTGTTTCAAGTCATAGCCACTAGCCACATGTGTCCATTTAAATTTAAATAAATACAACATAATGAAAAATGCAGTTCCTCAGGCACTCTAGTGATGCGTCAAATGCTCAGTCACCATGTGCCTAGATGTGCCATGTGTCCATCTTGGACATCACATTTCCACAAGTGCTGCAAGTTCTACTGGGCAGTGCTATCCCTGGTAACCTTGCAGTCCTCTGCAGCCCTTCTTCATGAAGAAAGATGGTGTCATTCAACATGCAGAGTTGGCATTTGTTGATTGTCTGTGTAGACCAGTGGTGACAGACCTATGGCACATGTGCCCCAGCAGGCTGTTCGTACCATTGAAAGCTCTAAAAGGTTCGCCATCACTGATGTAGGCCATTGGAATGCTCTTTCATGGCTTTTGTGGCCCTGGCTCTTGTCCCTTTGGCTCTTTATTGCTGTGAGTTCCAGAGGCTGTTCCTTTGCAGCAGTCCCTGTGCTCGGTTGAGAAACTCATTGGAGAGGTTCCTTTGCCTCCCCAAGGAACCACAGTTTGCAAACCAGAGTGAGCCAGTATTTCCCTGGGTGGCCCTGTAATTCCCATGCCCAACACAATCCTGGCACTCTAGATGCTCGAAATGTTTGCTTGGGTGGAGAAATGAGAACAGAAGTCACTTTGGCTCCAAAGAAGCTCTTCCAGGAAGTTAAAGAAGGTACCATGAGGTTAGACAGAGACAGAGAAATTCCACACACCTATGAATTTCTCTCCTCTTCATCTTCATTTCCTTGCCTGCGTGTATGAGAGAGACTTAGAGGAGGGTTGGAATGCAAGTCATGGGAGAAGGGAGTCAGGACAGAAGGAAGGAGATGAGGAAGAGAAGGAAGGTGGCATTTATCAGAGGGAAAGTCGCAGCATTTCAGACCAGGAAAAGACTGTGGAGTCCATTTGGCCTAACTCCTTCATGCCACTGATGAAATATGACCATTTCATTTGGCATTTAATACAAATCTGCTGAAAAAAAATGAAGAAATTGAAGTCAAAAGACATAGGTTAAGCGACATGTCTAAGGTTACGCAGCTAGTGAGTGTCAGAGCCAGAGCTAGAAGCCAGCCCACCTAGCCTGTAATTCCCCACCTCAGATTCTGCCCCGAAACCTGCCCTCCCGAATGTGGCTGGGGGAGGCACACGGGGGAGGAGGACAAGCTAAGGGGAGGAGAAAAAGTAAATTGCATGCCTCTCTTGGTCACCCCATGGCTTTCTCTTCTCTGAGGAGAAAGGGTACAGCTGCTTCACCTCCTCAGCAGGGTCTCCACATCTCAACACCACATTGTTACTGGCAGGCGACACAGAGCAGACCAGAGGGGCGGTGCTGGCTTCACGAAACCTCACCCTCACACAGGTTGCTTTTACCTTAGTAGCCACATGTCCCTTCTGAGCTTGGTCCAGATCCAGACTGTTTCATGCAACATCTTGACATTCCTAACATGTCACCCACCCTGGAAATAAAAACACTTGACAACAGGCTTTGACGAGGCTTTGAAACAGAGCTATCCCGTGATCCACCTCTCCCTGCAGGCCGGTCCTACATAATGGAGAACTGGAGCTGGTTTCTGAAAATGTTTCACCTTCTCATTACTTCTAGAAAACTCCCCAGATCAAGAACTTTGCGTCAGAGTACGGTGTTTGTGGCCCACAGATCTGATTTCAAACAGGCTGTCACATGGTTGTGCCCCTGTGAGGACGACACGCATCCTCTCCGTAGAGCTGAGATAGTAAAGGCAACAAGGAACGACTGTGGAGACCATCAGTATTAGGTGGAACCACAGTGCCCAGGGACATCAAGGATCCATGCATAGCTTTGTGTGACACCGCCTGGATTTGAACCCTGATGCCCTCACTCTACAGCAGTGCGATTGGATTTCTTCACACTTTAGTTTTCTTATTGGCACTATATGGATACTAACACCAACTGTCAAAGACATGAGGAGAAACTGAGGCAGTGCATGTACAATGCTTAACACAGAGTCTGGCGCCTAATAAACATCAGTTATCATTATTTCCTAACGTCGTGTGATTTCTTTATGTGTTCTATGGTGTACTGGGGGCACCAGGCGAGCTAGTTTCAAGTCCCTGAGCAAAACATCTGCCATGGGCTGCACTGGCACTGTGCTTTGAGTAAATGTCCTCACTCTGGCCCACCTGAGGCTGGTGGAGGAAGTCTAACCTCAGGTTTTATGGGTCTGATGAAGATGTTTGAAATATTGTAGGAGACTGTCAAAGAATACTTATACCCACTCCGAAAGACGGCCGTTCTTAATTTTCATCTTTCCTGCAAGTCAGAAAGATATATATTCTCCAAATAGTGGCAGTTTCCTCGTCCTGAAGTTATGGCAGCTTGGTGATACAATAAACAGCGCTCTGTCATGAGGACTGCATAAAACATGGCCTGACATTTCTTTAAAAGTAAAAAGAAACACGACTGCGGCAGGTGACCTTTCCTCGGAGGGCACAGCTGTTTTGTGTGGTTAGAGGGACCAGGGTTTCATACTTAGGAGCTACGATATAGGACTGGCTTTTCACAAAGTGTTTCCATGAGAAATTACAGTACGTTCCAAAGGGGAGCAGTGATTCTTCTGCATGCACGCTAGGCAGGCAGAACTTTTTCCCTCTTGATGCTTTCCAAATGATCTCGTGGTGAGTACTCATTATGAGAAAATGCTCAGGGATGTAAAGTGAGAGTGACCTCCCTCTTCCGGGGGTGTTTAAGGCTGCCCCCCTGTTGGGTGGGTGAGTGGGCTCCTTGGAGGACCCCTGCATTTATGAGAGGTCTCTTAAAATACAATGCTTCTCGAGGGCCAGGACTGGACATTCCTAGGGAAAAAATATAAAAAGTCACTTTGTTAGAGACGGTAGGTGATTTTCATTTCATCTAAAAATGTTCATTTCTTGTGTAAACTCTCACTTGTGCAATGCATTAAAAGGAGCATAAAAATGAATATCTTAAAAAGGGTTTATAATAGTGTTGAGACTAGGTATTTTCTTTTTTTGCTTGTTTTCTAAATGATCTTTAACATGTGTTCTTTTACTTCCTAATGAAATTTTTTTAAAAAGTTACATCTCCATTTAATTTTTTGATAGACGTCCCCAGAAGTCAGCAGCAGTAACTGAAAACATTCCTGAAAGTGCTGGACCCCCTCCCCTCAACCACTGTCCTCTAAATTAGAATAATGAGCCCTTTGAGAGGGGTTTGGCAGCCTCTCCATGGGGTGGGGGGAGTACATGCCAATTACTGGTGACCACCATGGCAATGTAAAAATGTGCTTTTGTTGCTCAAGTCCAAACCCTGCCACTGGCCTGCCAGCAGCTGGGCATGGAGTGCGTTTCCCAGTATGGCGGGGGATCTGTTCTGATTCATCTCTGGTCCCTCACCTCATTCCCTAGGTGACCAAAGCCGGGCATATGCAAAATGGCTGGCTTGGTGTAGAAGTACAAGCCCTTCAGCAGTTGACTTATTGGTAATTAGACCACACTGGTATTGAACCCCTGACCTCAGCTTCATTAGAGCTGTATTCGGGCCAACTGAGTTGACCAGAAACAGATTCAGAGCTGTGAGTGATAGAGAGGCCTCTGGTGCGGGGTCAAAGGCCTATTTACTCTACCCAGTGGTGTAAGTGGATTCCTACTCTCCCATGGCAGAGGTGCTGCAGCAGATGACAGGCCCTGTGGATGGGGCCCACCCTTTGCTTCACACAGTGGGTCACACAGCATCACCGCTCTGGGCAACTCCACCTTCCTCGAGCAGAGCTCCCTGTGAGGAAAACCTTAATAAAGGGAGAGGCAACAGTTTTAATGTGTCTCCCTGCTTACTCTGGTCTAATGTCTAATCATAACAAAGGCACTAGGATTAAAGTCCATTATTTTAGAGACTTTCCCTGAAAGGACACTCTCTGGTCAAAAAACTATGCAAGTCTATGGTGTGGTGCTATCGATGGTCAGTCACTGTTTTGAGCCTGTATTCTTCAGGGAGATCTAAAAGCAGGTGACAGGTTCCCATTCTGTACAGAAAAGAAATGGGTTTCCCAGTGGTAGAGCAGAATAAACGGGGAAGCAGGCACAGGACGGTGAGAGGCCCCAAGCTCCGGCGGGAGAGGGAAGAGGGCAGCCTTAAAATAGGACAGAATTCTGTGCAGCAGATTCCAGTGCTTCAGATCAGTGGGCAGAAACTGATTACAGAAGGTGGAGTTCTGCTTCAGACCATTCACAAAATAAAGGTTTAAGTGCGAAAACAAAATGTAACATTTCTGAAAAATAATGAAGTAAATTTTAATAATCTAGGAAGACCTTTCTAGGTGTACATGAAAATACAAACGCCACAAAGAAAAAGATGGAATAATTTGCCTCAGTAAAAATTTATCATGAAGACTTATGTATTTGTCAAATAGTAAGTAACCTTAAAAGACAAATGAGACAATATTTTTGGTACCCATGGGAGGGTTAACTCCAAGATATTTATAAATGCATATGGATGAGTTAACTAAAACACATTAGAAATCAACAAGAAAAAGGTAAACAACTTAATAGAAAACAGGCAAAAGAAATGAATATCACTTTATATAAAAGAAACGTAAATGGCCTTTAAATCCATGAAAAATCTATTCAACCTCCCTGGTAAAAGTTAAAAATTGGATATTTTAAGAGTGGAAAGTTTATTTTTCTTCCCCAAGGTTGGCAAAAATAAAAATAAAAACACTGGCAATATTTCAGGGCAATTAATATTATTATATCACTTGTGATTGTATATGCTACTGTACCTTTTTAAGAGTGTTGACAATGTGAAAGAAAAGCTGTCAAATTTTACATGAGCTATGATCCAGAAATCCTACTTGTAGGAATCAATCCAGAAAGACTAATCATGGACATGTATAAAGATTTTGCTATTAGAATGTTGATCAAAGCATTTTTATAATTAAAATTGTAAACATTTTAAGTCTCCTACAATAGAGAATTGGTTAAATATATCATGCTGTGTGATGTATGATAGAATTTCATGAAACCAGAACATGTAGAAAATATTATATTTCACGTTATGCACAAATACTATTGTGCTCTTCAGAAAAAAGTAACTTTAAACTTATAATGTCATAAATTGTACATGCTAGGAAAAGACGGTAAAATATATATCATAGATATTAAGATATTAAGATAGCCTTCTCCAGGTGAAGAAATCACATATATCTTTAAATGTCTTTATCAGATTTTTAAAATGGTGAACACTCACTTGAAAACAAATGGTAAAGCAATATACAGTGGTACCTCAGTTCACGAACTTCTTTCCACAATTCTGGAATGGATTCTGTGACCAGGAACGTGAAAAGAATTAAGTTCTTGAAGCAAGGCACCACTGTATTTTGTTTCCAGTACCATAGCTGTCAGAGTTTAATTATGGAGATCATGGAATAATGTATAAGAAACTTTCTAACATAGGATTAGAAAAATAAGGGGGCCTTGGAACTTCAGTTTTGAACTTGAATCTAAAAGTTACCTAGAAGTCCCAGACCTTTTAGCCCTCCCTAATTGAGACTGACTGTCCAAGTGTGTGGGGTATATGAGCTCTAACAAACCATCTTTTCTTTTGTTTTGGCATTAGATTTTCTGCATCAATGGCTCCTGAACATCTCCATAAGATGGCAGGCAAGGAATGAGGAAAACCCGCCAGTTTGTGATTCTAAGATAATCCTGTCACGTTCCTCTTCACTATATCATAACCTGCACTATCGTGAGACTCTGCTCTTTAGGGAAAACGACAGCAAGGAGTTTTCCTTTTCAAGCATTACTAGATCAACAGCAACTGCTGTGTTACCTGTCATGCTATGAAACAATAAAAATTATATACCTGAGTTAAGAACATCATGGTGAAGTGCAAGGCTTGTGACTTCGGGTGGACTATGGAACCCCAGGGAGGTTTGGGCAGACAGGAAGGGGAGGGATGTTGGCGGGTGAGTAAGTGGGAGGCAGAGAAAGAAGGGTACAGGGCTGGAGGACAGCACTGGATCTGCCTCGGAGGCTCGTCAGCACCATGGGTTCACATGCGGGTCCCTCAGCAATCGAAAGAAAAATTACACACAGGAATGGAAAAAGTGCTCTGCATAAAGGGTTCCCTAAAGATTTAGGCTGTAACGCATTGCTTCCTTGGTATCACAGGACAGACCTGTGGACTGGGCGTGTATGTGTGCACAAATGTGTGTGTGTGTGCGAGCGCGCTAGTGGTCAGGAGGTTCCTACAGGTAAGTGGAGTTAGAGGAAGATTTTTCCTTACTTGTGTAGAGTGTTTTGCTGGTGCAGTGCTGGCAGTGGAAGCCACAGTGCCAGTCCCCTTTTGTGGTTTAAAGGGGCAGCGAAAGAGGCTGGACAAAGGGTATGGAGGGAGGTGCTGTACAGGGGCTGTCCGACCTTGCTTCTGTGCATAGTCAAATCCCTTCCGAGGTCCCAAGATGCAATTTCTGGAGGATTTGTTGGGGGGCGGGGTAATTCTGGTATAGCAAGTGGTGTAGACAAGTTCAGCACAATATGAATTAGGACTGTTAACGCAACTTCCCTTTCAAACTTGGGTCAAGTGTCCTGGGCAAATCTGTGTGACACAGACAAGTGCTACTTCCTATGATTGATTCAGCTGGCTGCAGCTTGGTGCTAATGAGACCACGGCCAGTTCGATTGGCTCTGCCCCCGTGGGAGCTGTTAGCGTCTCATGGCTCCAAGTGTGAGGTGACACGGCTCACCCTTGCACACAGTGGGGATTGGGTGAGAGAGTATGGGGTCAGCTCCAACGTGGACGCCTTCCCCTCTAGCACAATGCCACTGCCCCGAGCACACTCCTAACCAGGCTTTTGTAAAGAGACGACCTAAGCAATATCTTCGTCTCCAGAGCCGCATCACACTCGGAAAGCACAGGCTACCTGTACAGATTTCTAGTCATTTCGGTGGACACAGGTCATCCTACCAATTGGTTCTCACAGACAAGTACAGCTTGA